TTAATTTGTAATATCAACTAAAATACCTAGTAAATTTATTTCTGCTGGGATTGTATTTTTACAAATTACAAGTTACCTAATAAATTCTACTATTTCTACTGCAAATTCAGTCATTAACATTCGAAAATTGTAATTTTTGCATTGTTATAAAAAGTTAGTTTTCTCTCCATACGATGATTTTTAGGAATTTAGAACTGTTTTACATACATATGTCCGCTGCATTAAATTCGATTCAAATTTTTAATTAATTTTTAATAATAATCTCTATTACGTATAATCTGAATTAAAAACGCCCAATTGCTAGACTTTTCTTTACAATAGACACATTTTGCAATCAGTTAATGAGACATTGATGTGTCTAAGTAAAAAAATCTCAGAAAATTTACCTTGATATTGATTAAGATTAAAAATTAGGCCATAAACACCTGAACTGTGTCATCTGAAGTAGGTTACCGTTATTATTTTCTTATTTCTGATTGTGTTTGTACTTATTGTTACAATAGGTTTGATATCTTGCTATCAGTTACACGTTTCGCAATATCTTAAATTAGGACATTTTTTTAAAAAGGTACAGACAGCTGTATGAGTTCAATCACGAATATAGGCGAAATAGATGGGAGATAGTGCCTTTTTTATAGGCTTTTTTTTATTGGCGTACAATTTAAAATCACGGAATTTTATACATATCTTCCTTTTTTTTATTATAAAACCTTTGTAAAAAGAAATGGCATAATCCTTTCGTTGGAACTAGACTGGGAAAACTAGCAAAGGATCTTGAATTATCTCAAATAAAAAGGAAGATTTCTCGCCCTTATACCAACGAAAAGTCCTTGTCAATTTTTTCACAAGGGTTTTATAATTAAGACTTCCTTTTTTTGTTAGCATTTGCCCCAATAATCCCTTTGTCTAAATTAGGTAATAGTATACGTAATCGCTGCCTAATATAGATTAATTACATTGGCTGTGGCATATCTGTGTATAAAAAACAATAAAAAGCATAAACTTTTACTTACCACAGGTGGCAGCTATATACTGATTTTTCTTTTGCGTGTCCTGTTTTTCCAGAGCCTCGACATCGTTGTTATTAATCATGGGCAAACCTGCGTCCATTTTTGAAAAATTATTTTACTTATAGATACAAATTGAGATACTGTTAATAATAAATTTTAATACTACAAAAATCGTCCTAGTCTTCTTAGTAGCAAAATTAGTTGTTAATAATTTGATGCAATAAACAAAACTGACTGGAATTATCGTCAGGATGGTTTTACAACGTCTTTACGTTTGTTATCAATCGTTTTGTGTATATACAACAACAATTTATCAGAATTTTTATTTTGTGAAAGATTATCCCATGTCCCCCTTTTATTTGTAATAATAATAATTAGAACAATCAATGATTTCACTAATATGTAATAGTAACAATATTATTTGTATGCCTTTTACGTATGCATTTGGATCTTATTTATTTATCTTAAAATGTTATTTGCTTTTGATGACGCAAGTTTTCGTTTTATTAATTTGAATATTAAATGCGTTTTCTTCCGTTGCATTTAATTTTTCGTATATTGTGTATGGTAAGACCAAAGTTAAACGTCACTGAAGTTTTGGTAGCCTCATAAATGTATTGCTTTTTAGCTGTCAAGCTTTTCAAGGTCTCCATTTATTATATTATCCATTGTAAATAGTCACTGTTTTTAAAATAAATACGAAATTAAACAATTCATAGCAATACGTTTTAGAAAATACCACAAATGGCGCAGAAAACGCCATCTGTATTACGATGCTACATTTTAGGATGTCGGAGCTGTCTACGACGCGCTGATGAGATCTAAAATAATCGAAATCGCACTCCGGTCTGGCAGTTTCAACGGAATACAGACCACTTTGAATTATTTAATTCATAGCAATATTTATGAAACTAAAATTGAAGTTAATTCGAATTAGTTTTACCTTAACTATATTTAAATTTCAACATTTCTTTTGTTTTGTTAGTTAATTTTATTATAATAGCTTCTCTAGATGTTAAGTTCTGCAATTAATATTATTAAGTTTTAATTTTTGTATTATATGTAATTATGTTTTTGTCAGTGTTAACATAAACATCTACAAAAAGAAGAAAACTTGTAGAAAACTTACTTTTAAGTAAAATTTGAGTTGAATCAAAATGGTTAATCCACTTCGAAATCATACCTTAGTTCGATGATTAACTTATCGTTAAAGATCAGAACTTTTACAAACTATTATAGCCTTATCCACAAGGAACTATTACAACTAACTCTATTGTAGTTTCAATAAACAAACAAAACGCGAAAAATTCGCCATCATTTATTGTTGTCGTAATTGTAAGAGATTTAATTGCTTATTGTGTTCCTGTAAGAAATTCCTTTCGTTTTATTTTTAAATTTCAGTTTCCTTATGAAATCATTCTATCTTTTTTGCGAAACGTTGCACTAATCGATAAATGCATTTATTATCACAAATATGTGCATATACTATACTTTGTTTACAAAATGTCCAGGCAATTGCAGAATTGTTAACACTTTGGATTGTATACAAATTAAAAGACACTAGATATCGTTTACAGTAACAAAATTTAGAAACTTGATGGGCATTTTGAAAATTGCCCTGAGAAGTGACTTGTACAGTCAGTCGCAAAAAGACACCTGTGCAAAAAGCCTTTAAACAGAAGGTACTTTGTTGGTTTTTCGTAAACTGCTTGGACATTTAAAGAAATGACGAAGGGAATGTTGACAATTTGAAAATAGTCCACAAAAATCTCTTAACACTAGTCAATTCTATTACATTATTGTTTCCAACAACACCGTTGGTTTTTCATAAACTGCCTAGACATTTAAATAAATGACCAAGTGAATATTGGCCATTTGAAAATAACCCACAAAAATTATTAAACTCAGACCGGCGTTTTTCTTAACACTGAACAATTCAATTAAATTCTTGCTCTAACAGAAACAAAAGATATATCATTATTTCACTTACGTGGAGGTTTCCTAATATTCGAATTGTCATCTCGTCCTCCTTTTATATATCTGCGTGATAAGTCCTTGTACGCGTCCTTGAAGGATTCCTAAACATTACATGAGTTGAACTTAATTTAGTTAAGTTACCTTAAGTACTATATTTATTTGATATCTAAAGTACTTTACCTTATTTTTAAATTCGGAATGGGGATTTCCCATACTACGTAGATTAACCATAATAATATTATCGGAACCAATTTTGCTAGTACAATTATCAGTCGACGATTTTGAGATACTCACTGAAAATTTTAGAAATGATAGAAGACCGTTAAACATTCTCTTATTTATTTATTTAAATGTTAGCTTATGAAATATAAACTTCTTCTATTTTATGTGCTTTTCAATCTTGTCTTAAACCAACTGTGAGTGAAATCTAGTTTGTAGTAGTTGGTTGTGGTCATTCAAAAACCCACTTTCGTTTTTGTTTAATTGTAAATGTTAGTTTGTGTATATACAATAAATTTGGCATAAAAAGTAGCCTCAACTCAACGCTAATTATATAGAAATTGTTAGCATTTTTGTAGTGTCCTTATTTGTTAGTGGACATGCATGAACTACTTTTTTTAGTTATTCCTATAGGTTTGTTAAATTAGCCATAAATTTCAATTTTAATAACATTGAATATATTGTTACAGGTCATTGGTCTATTCTAGATGTTTCCTCTGTAAGTAACAGTAAGTAAAATTGAAGTCTGAAAATTTGTTTTATTGCTAGACAAAATTCGGTCATTTACAGTAATTTGAAAAAGTGGCGGAAAATTTGTTAAAATTGAATGGTAAGAGTGAATATTACATTTTCCTGTTATCTGGGTCATCAAATCGTAAGTGTTATTATTGTGGAGGCGGCAAGTGCATTTACAAAATAATTGATGTTTAAACTATCTAAAATTGCGCTTGGTATTATTAATCTTCTGGAACAATCATTATCACTGGAGAGTTGTCTTCCGCACCGATCAACGTGCCTTCTTTGTCAATTTTAATAATGGTCACTTCTAGAACGCTTACGTCGGACTAAACTGATAATGTGTTTTTAATCCAACAGACAATATGTCAGGTCACGAGCGGGATTAATAAACAATGCAATTTTTTCGGAACTTTTGGTATGTCTATATGCATTTGAAACTCTCCAATGAATTTACTAAGAAAGAAAATACAAAATGTAGAGAGAAGGGAATTCAATTAGCTTTTAAAAACATGATAATAAGTAAAAAAAAGATAAGGATAAGAACCCTTCAATTTGATACCTGCTATTGTTTAACTGTGAGGTTGCAAATTATAAAAATGCGAATGTCTATTTGTTTGTTACCATTTCACGTCTTAAGTACTCAATCGATCATCATGAAATTTTGTACAGACATTTCCAGGGGTTCAGAAAAGGACATAGGATACCTTTTGTCCATAAAACAAATACTGTTCCCAAAGGAATATAAAAATTAGTTTTATGTGATCGTCGATGATATTTGACACGTATCTAGGACACGCGAGCGAAGCCGCAACTAAAAACTTATCATGAAANTTAAAAAAGTAAAAATTTTTTTGATGATGGAGTCGACGAAGTTTTCTTCTAAAGTTAAATCAAATAAAAAGTTAATATGTTCAGTGAAAAGCTGCAATGAATTATTTTACCTGATTCGTTTTATCATATTTATCTTCATGCATGTTTACTCTACAAAAAAATTATTGATATGTCAGAGACATATTAGAGACAAAAACAGGAGTGAAGAAGGGCATTGAAAGACTTAGATTAGATAACTGTTTGTAAATAAGCAGTTAGAAGATATGGAATGTTAGTCTAAAAGACGTTTTAATTGTTTAACTAACCCGGTATTTATTTAGTCACTGAGGGATTTTCAGTTCACATTTGTACTAATCAAATGTTTTTCTAATTATTATTATTATGTGTGTAATAAGTACATTTTGTGCAATACAAGAAACCATTTCATCACTTCATAATATGTCCCAGAATTGTTTAAGTAAGTTTATTACAAATATGTATCCAATTCATTATGGTAAATAAAAGTAAAATAGGTATGTTTATATTTGTGTTATATATGCGTTTCTGTATTTACTTAACATAATTTTTTTGTGTACTTGATCAATTAAGCATTTCCAATTACGTTTAATTAGATAGTTATCAAAGACTGTCTACCTGTACCTGATTAAGTCCAGCCACGATGCGAGAACATGATTTTTCAAGTGAACTAAAAAAACGAACCAATCTGATGGCTATAAATAGTTATACTAAAGTTTCTGATTTTTTTTTATAAAAAAAATTATGTTCAGGTATAAGTGCTGTACATTTTATGGCGCGATAAAAAAACATGAAATTAATTATTGTTCATACATGCACTTCAGCAATTTCATCAGTGCTAAGAAAATTATCTAAAAATTGATTGTTCCGATAACGGTCTGTAATAATGATTTTAAAATAAAATTTAGTTTACTAGAATTTCCACTTGAACAATGTCTTTAGATGGTGCGTATCCCAGAAAAAAACAGAAACAATCAAAGACGTAGAGCTTCATCATGTCGTCAGTCCTAAGACTGGTTGGACACGCTCCTCCACTCTTTCCTATCTTGAGATAATCTTCGCATTTCCCTAAAACTGGAACATCCACGTCCTTAACTATTTGTGAACAATAATCTAATCTAAGTCTACCTCTACTCCTTTTAACTCCTGTTTCTGCTTCTAATATACCTGTAGCTACCCCTTCATGCCTTAGGAAGTGTCCTATCAACTTATCTCACCTATTTCTTATTGATTGTTATAAAGTCCTCTGTTCTCCTATTAAACAATAATTATAACGTGTTTAGTACTATTTTCGTAATGTATTAAATGACTACGTTACAAATACTTTATAAAATTATAGCTCATTAACATGAATGTTGTGCGTCTTGGATATGAATATGGAAAAAGAGATTTAATTGAAAGGTATAAATTTATTAAAGCATTTAAAAATATTAACCATAAGTACTTCCACCAATTTTAAAATTACTTTGATGTTGTGAAACGTGTAGCCGACAGGATACCTACGCATACATAACTTATTTAATTGATAATAGAATTCAGTGGAAATGGAGATAAAAGTCAATTAAATTAATAGCGTCTGATAATACAATAGTAATAAACAAATAAGAAGTGAAATTATATTTTATTAATAGGCTGGCCGAATCGTTAGAAACTTACAATAATAATGTATAATACTTTTCGTTCGTAAGTTCCAAAGAAATTGTGTTTTTGGGTTTTTTCAGGATATATTAATCAAATAATCTAGTGCCTATTTTACAAAAACACAAAAAGTTTCAACTTGGAGCAACCACAGCCTGATTTAGTGGATTAAGTCAGATAAAATGGCCACTCTTTAATTGTTTAGGGTTGAAGGGTTCTGAATGTCCGATTGAAAAACTCATACGTCTGTCTATCCGTTTTTGTTTGCTAGGTGATGTTCTCCTTGTTCAAATTGATTCGATGTTTGACTATTTTCCTGATGCCTTCTTAATTAATTAATCTTTTATTATTTTATCCATGTCTTACTAGATTATTTGTGAATTAAATTCTGCTCTGAAAAAAATTGGTAAAAAAATATTAATTTTTGTAATTGATTTAATTCGTCCTCGTATTCTATTCCAATAAGGTACAATGATTTCGGCTTTCTGGATCATTTGTTACATGAGCTCTCGAAATTAATATTCCTTGCTGTTCCTTGATCGTTAACGAACTACCACTGACTTAAATACTCAAATCTCTTTGTATTGATGTATATATAAAATATTCTTAGCAGTACTAAGTAATATTAAGTTTTTTTTTTTT